ACTGGAAAGTCGTTGCGAGCATAAGAGACTCCCCCTTCCCCTCAGGACCACTAGTCTTTGCGCTTTTTCCACGAGCTCCGTCGAGAATCTCGTTGTGAGGCTCTTCTCGCTGCCACATCTAGCAACAACAGTGACGACAGAGTTTCCACAGAAACCCAAATATGATGGCAGCCCGATTTGATTGAGAGGTGGCTTGGTTGGGTTCACGCTCGCTTCGCAACCACCCATTATTTGATCTGGATTTTGCTAAAACTGAGACTTTATGATGGAAAATTTGGCTCACTTTGGTGTTGAACATGTGATCTGGTGATACTCTGTTGGTGATAGGAACGAGAAACTAACCTTGGGGCTTCTGGACCAATTTCTGGCTCACCTCAAATTAGCAACAAATTAGATTTTCAAAGAGGATATATCATTACTCTACATCCCTAGGCCTCAGCTGCCCTTCATTGATACACCAAATCCACTGTCCAAAGGTAATTCAACATCACCAGGTGATGACAATGGAAAAAGAAAAATATGGTGTTCTTCTTGATTTGAACAGGTTTATAATGTTGGTAAAAAAAACGAAAAAACTTTTTTTATTATTTTTCTTTAGTTGGTGTGTCTTTAATTTTAGAGTTTGTTCGGTTGCATTTTTAAGTTATAATAGTTTGAGTGTAGATCTTGAGTTGAATTTGAGTTAAAACTTGAATTAAAGTTGTAACTTGAGTTTGTGCTTGGATGTGCACATTTGAGTTATGGTTTGAATTGATAAACTATTTGAATTTGTGTTTAGGTGAGTCAAAACTTTAATTTGTATTTAGATAGTATTTTAATAAAAACTCAATGGTGATAGAAAATTTGAATAGGGTATATGGGTGGGGTTTTATTCGTCTTTTCATTGTGAACGCATAGACAAAAAGAAAGCATCTCAATCGGAATTAAAACGAAAAACTTATGACGTTTTTAAGAATAGAAAAAATATTGTTTATTAACTTGAGTTTGAGTTTAGGAACTTAAGTTGAAAGGGGAACTTGAACTCAGATTTTAGCCCAAACTCAAGCTAAAACTCGAGTTAAAACTCAATTTTAAACTCAAATTTTATAAAAGAACAATAACTTGAATAAAATTGTAACTTGAGTTCAAGTATTTTTTAAGTTTTGATCCAAAAGAATAAGCCCTTAATTCTTAGAGTTTGAGTTTTTCCTTTTTTTTAAGAAAAAAGGTTACAGGTGATATATAGTGAATTAATTTGTTTTTTACTATCATGTATGTATTTTCCATCCAATTGATACACAGAAGTAGGGCTAGCAATATGGGTTACGACACGACAACACGACTTAAAAACGACACGAATGTCATAGGTTAGGGTTGAGAAAAAATCGGTTCGGATCAGAATTAGGTCGACCTAAAATTGACCCGAAAACACAAGTCAATTTCAGGTTAGACCTACCTAACCTGAACACAGCACGAAGCTCATAAAAAACTAAAATATATATAGTTTTCATTACATATTTTAGATTTTATTATGAACTTATGATATTATGATACTTATACTCAAAATTTTATATTATTATTTGCTTAATTTTGATAATTATACTCAAAATCGTATACTATTATTTGCTTAATTTTGATGGATGTTATTATATTTTAACGTGTTATGAATTTTAAGTTATTTCTATTATGTAAAAAACTAAAGAAAAGTATATAATTTTCGTGTCAATTTCGGGTTCACAGGTGGGTCAATTTCATGTCACTGGTAATTTTCATGTTGTGTTGTGTCAACTCGTAAAGTGGTCGTGTTGTGTTCGTGTTACGCTTTTTAAAAAAATTTGTGTCATGGGTTATGTCCGGATTGAATGTGAATTTAAGAAGAAACGACCAAAATATGACACGAACACGACACGTGACATGAACTGCCACCGCTACACATAGGTGAACAGGGGATAATTTGAACCAATTTTTATGCATTAAAAGATGTTTTGAACTGTTTTGATAAATTAAAAGAGAACTTTAAAACACTGTACATATTTCAGAGGGTCTTTATGAAAATAATCCTACATATAATGTTTATTATTCTGCATGGCCTTTGGATTCCAAAGCCAGAGTCCCAGAAGGAAGGCCAGGCATGATTAGAACCAAAGTTGAGACTCAAGTCTTTTAACATATGATCTTATCAAGTCACATTGGAGAGGGAAAAAAAAGGAATTTTTCCCTGTAAATAGATGTTAGAAACTTTTCGTGCATATTCATTCAATGAGCTTCTCAAATCTTACACATATTTCCTACTTCAGAAAGGGGAAAAAAAACTTGAAAGTAAAATTTATTACATTCGTTGTTCATTGTTATAAGGTAATTTTGTTGCATAATTATTTTAATTTACTTTTATTAATGATATTATTAATTAATTATTATTTTTATTAAAGCAATAACATCATCACATGAAAGGAGAGTTAGGGTGCGTTTGGAATTGGTTTCAAAATGATTTTATTTTCAATAAAAAGTAAAAATGAGATTGTTTTGAGAATCATTCTGAAAACGATTCTGAAATTGCGTTTAGTTGGTTTTTTAAAAGATTATTTTGAGTATAATAAAAGAGTGAAATCGTGTTTGATTAATAATTATTAATTAACATATTATAATATTGTTGATAAGTATTAGAAAATGAAAATAGAAATGTGAAAACAACTTTCAACTATTTTCCAAATTCTTTCACAAAAACCATTCTCACTATTTTCGTTTTCATTTTCGTTTGCAAAACATTTCCTAAACAAACGCTGTTTCGTTTTCGATTTCATTTTTTTCTCCTTGAAAAATGTGAAAAACATTTTGGAAACGAAACCAAATGCACCCTTTAATGTTTCGAATTTGATAATCAACGAAGAAGAACAATTTGATGATCGACAAGAAGAGCTAGAATTAAAACACTATCTCAAGTTGGTGCCTCCACCAAAGTGACTTGTAAAGGTAAAAGAAACGTGCAACGAACTTCACTAGTTTGGAATTATTTTTATATGGTAATGCGTCCAAAGGAGAAGGGTGTAATGGAGAAAGTACTATTTGCGAAGTGTGCTAATAACATTCCACAGGTAAATCCTCTTTTGGCACTGGTCACCTAGAGAGGCATCGCAAAAAGCTCAAAGGTAAACATGGTGTTGATACTGATTGTCGTTAACACATTTTTTCATATGTCGAGGTGAGTGCTCCACGTCAACAACATCAAAGCTCAAAGATCAGATCAGCTGAGAGGTATTAAGAGCACATTTCGTATGAGGGTTCTAAAATCCGGAACCATGATTCTGGTTCAAATCAGTGTATGTTTACAAAAAGTACAGAGTGGTTCTGATATAACTCACCCAGAATAAATGTTTGGTTTGGATGGTTCTAATTCAAGATTTGAACCTTGATATGATGTTTTAAACCAGAATCACCCGTAATTCTAAAACCATTCCCTGGTTTTGGGTGGTTCAAACCCCTGATTCTGGTTCTAGTTTCAGAACCATGATTTGGACTAAAAATCATAAATCATAGTTTTGGTTTCAAAATCAAAATTAGAATCACCCTAATTGGAACAATCATACCAAACGAAGCCTAAATAACTTGGAAAATGTATCATTCCAAACTCAACTATCTATCTTTTAATCTTCTAACTTAATGTATTAGCTCCCCGCTCAACTTTAGAGCTTAAAGGAGGAAGAGAGATATCGAGTAGCTAAGCCTGGACTCAAAGATTGTCGAAACTGAGCTAGGCTCGCAAATATGTGAATTGAGTTAGGTTTGCGAATATGCAAGCTGAGCTCACAAACAATCGAGGCTACAAAGTTTCTAGCTCACAACTTGGTGAGCTCGTGGCATAGCAAGCTAATAGTTCAGGCAAAACCCCCACATGCAAGGAAGACCTTCTCCTCTCACGTCCCCCTTCTTTTTCTCTCTTCCCTTTCAGGTCCAACTTTCCCGCCCAATTCCCACGCCCATTGAGGAGGAGTGCACCACATTAACCGTCTAATGTCGTTTGAATTACTCAGAACTGCTCGAGTAACTGTCACATTGAACAGGATAGGACAACGATAGAATTTGATTATAGATTTTTTTTATTGGATTACCAAGAACTCAACGTGGTGTTGATTGAGTTTTTGTGGTAGTAGATTGTTTTTCAAGATGGTTCACTTCATTCCTTGCATGAAGACATCAGACACTTCACTTGTGGCTCATCTGCTTTGTCTGGCACTTAGCCCATCTTCATGTTGTCCCTTAGTACATTAAGATAGGGATGCAAAATTTTGAAGTCATTTTAGGAGGACCCTTTGGAAGAAGTTTGAAACTTTTTTTTTCCCGCTACTGTAGCACTAACAATCCTTAAACGGTAGGACAAAATGAAGTTGCTAATCGTCGATACGTATGCAGGGACAAGCCTATACAATGGGATGTCACATTGCCCCAAATTAAGTTTGCTTTCAATAGCATGACCAATCAATCTACCAAGAAGACGACGTTTGATGTTGTCTGTACTAGAGCAAGTCATATTGTTGACTTGATTAAACTGTCAAATTTCCTTGATGTTAATCCCATAGCTGCAGAGTTTGATGAGCAAGTTCATAGCGTGCATGACGAGATTCACAAGAAGCTGCCACAAACGAACATAAGAGGCCAAAGTTCTTTGCTAAGGGCAATTTGGTATCAGTTTCCTATTGGTACATTGATATACTCGGTAACTTAAAACAAATCTGGTATATTCGGGCTTATTTTTTGACATTCCTTGCCTTGCGTGCGTAATTTGCTATACTTGAGGTTTCCCCAAGTCAATGCACTAGAAATTATTCTTTCCTTTAATCAGTGATTTAGTTTCCTGATCTAATGGTTTCTTAGGTGCTGTAATTCTCTATAAAAGAACAATCTCAAATGACAGAATATATTATTCCGTGCAACCTGTTTTTCAACTTGGTATCAGATCAAGGAAAGAATCTCTTGCCGGAATTCCTATTTTCTTCCTTTCCTCTTGATCCTTACACCCTAAAACCATGTCTGACGCTTCGACCGATTCCACTACTGTCCCTCAATCCTCCCTGAACAATCCTAGCAGCACAGATGTTTCAAAAATCAGTGCTACCTCCTCAGAATCTCATTCTGTTCATATCACCACAATTCGTTTGAATGGTGACAATTTTCTGAGATGGTCTCAGTCGGTTAGGATGTACATTAGAGGGCGTGGGAAAATGGGCTATTTGACTGGTGAAAAAAAGGCTCCTGCAGAGGATGATCCGGCCTATGCTACATGGGATGCAGAGAATTCCATGGTGATGACGTGGCTCGTGAATTCAATGGAAGAAGATATTGGCTCTAATTATATGTGCTATCCAACGGCACGAGAGCTTTGGGAGAATGTAAATCAAATGTATTCCGATCTTGGAAATCAATCACAGATTTTTGAGTTGACCCTCAAAATCGAAGGGATGTGACAAGGGGAGGACAATGTTACAAAATATTTTCATTCCTTGAAGCGGTTTTGGCAAGACCTTGACCTCTTCAACACCTATGAGTGGAAATCTCCCGAGGATGCTCAACATCACAAGAAGACTGTAGAGGACAGCCACACCTTCAAGTTTCTGGCTGGACTTAATGTCGAGTTTGATGAGGTGAGGGGGAGAATTATTGGAAGACCGCCCCTACCTTCAATTGGTGAAGTTTTTTCAGAGGTCAGAAGAGAGGAGACTAGGAGGAATGTGATGCTTGGCAAGAAGGGACCTGGAATTGCTGAAGGTTCTGCCCTGGCCTCCACGGCTGGAAGCAAGGCTCCTATTTTTCAACGCAAAACTGATGAAAAGCAGTGAGTTTGGTGTGATTTCTGCAATAAGCCTTGCCATACCTGTGAGACATGCTGGAAAATTCATGGGAAACCTGTGAATTGGAAAGGAAAAGCTGGAGATAAATCAAACCAAGCTTTCGGTAGAGACCAGCCCCTTCACCAAGGAGCAGATGGAGCATCTTCTTGCACTGTTTAAATCTAACTCGGTACCCAATGTTCCTAATGTTTCTATGGCGCACACAGGTAATAAATTATATGCTCTATCTTGTCAATTTAAATCTGCTCCATGGATAATAGATTCTGGAGCATCCGACCATATGACCAATTCCTTACATTTGTTTGAGACTTATTCACCATGTCCCGGAAATAAGAAGGTTAGGATAGCCGATGGTAATTTCTCACCAATTGCAGGAAAAGGCCTTATAAAAATTTCTGAGGGAATAGATCTTAAATCTGTTCTCTATGTCCCTAAACTTGCTTGTAATCTCTTGTCAGTTAGCAGATTATCCAGAGACTCTAACTGTTCTGTTATTTTCTATGAATCCTATTGCATTTTTCAGGACCGGAGCTCGGGGAAGACGATTGGCAGTGCTAGGATGATTAATGGTCTCTATTATTTCGAGGATAAATTTCTTAGTAATAAAATGGTTCAAAGGCTGAGTAGTATCAATTCTTTATCTGTACGTGATCAAATAATGGTTTGGCAGACTCGTTTAGGCCATCCAAGTTTCTCCTATCTAAAACATTTATTACCAGTGCTATTTAAAGGGATTGATCCTTCATCGTTTCAATGTGAGAGTTGTTTAATAGCAAAAAGTCAAAGAAAGTCTTATATTCCGAAATCCTACAAGGATTCAAAACCGTTTTACTTATTCCATAGTGATGTTTGGGGTCCTTCAAAAGTAACCACAATTTCTAGTAAAAAAATGGTTTGCGACTTTTATTGATGATCATACACGTCTTTGTTAGGTTTACTTAATGAGGGAAAAATCTGATGTAGAGCAGATTTTTAAAGAATTTTATAAGATGATTGAAACTCAGTTTCAAACAAAAATTAATATTTTGAGATCTGACAATGGAACAGAGTATTTTAATAAAGTTTTGGAAACCTTTTTAAATGAAAAAGGAATTTTACATCAATCCTCTTGTTCCGACACACCTGAACAAAATGGCATTGCTGAGCGTAAGAACAAGCATTTGTTAGAAGTAGCTAGAGCCATGATGTTTTATAGGAATGTTCCAAAGTATCTATGGGGTGATGCTATATTGACAGCTTCGTATCTAATCAACAGGATGCCTACCAAAGTTTTACAATATATCACCCTTCTGGATTGCTTAAAAAAGGTATTCCCAGAATCTAGAATCAATTCTGACTTACCCTTAAAAATATTTGGCTGCACGGCATATGTGCACACTCCAAAAAGGCTCAGGTCTAAATTAGATCCAAGAGCTGAAAAATGTGTTTTTGTAGGGTATGCACCCAATAAAAAGGGTTACAAATGCTTTAATCCCCTTACAAAACGTTTTTTTGTCACTATGGATGTTTCTTTCATGGAAAATACACCATACTTTACCAAAAATTTGCTTCAGGGGGAGAAGATAGTTGAACCAAATTTCTGGGAAATTACCGAACCCTTACCTAGCACACTTCTTGATACTCTTTTTAAAAAAGAAACTTTGGAAACTAGGCCTAAAGAAACCAAAACTGATATTGGTCTGACAGAAAAAGAAATACTACGAATGGAAAAAAAATAGAAACAATCTTGAGCCTATGGTTTATTCCAGGAAAGGTGTCCTTAGAGGTGGTAGAGACCAGGCCATTATTCCAGCATGTGGTCAATCGGAAGCCCTGAGCAATGGTCATTCAAATACCTCAGGTAATCCTTCTTCTGTTCCTTCTTCTTCCTCTCCTATTACTGACTTAAACTTACAATCAGATTCTAGGAAAGAGAACTCTGCACCTAAACCTGTGTTGGAACCAGCCCCTGTTATCCCTGAACAAAATCTTGATCTTGACCTTCCTATTGCCCATAGAAAGGGAACCCGAACCTGTACCAAACATCCTATTGCCAAATATATTTCCTATCAAAACCTTTCTGACAATCATAGAGCATTCACTACAAACATTTCAAAGCTTGTTGTGCCTAGAAATATTCAGGAAGCACTTGGTAACCCGAATTGGAGGATGGCTGTGCTTGAAGAGATGAGTGCCTTGAAGAAGAATGGTACTTGGGAGGTTGTAGAATTACCGAAGGGAAAAAAGGTTGTGGGGTGCAAATGGGTGTTTACTATCAAGAGTAAGGCAGATGGGAGTGTCGAGAGATACAAAGCCCGCCTTGTTGCAAAAGGCTTTACCCAAACCTATGGGATAGACTATCAAGAGACTTTTACTCTGGTAGCCAAAATAAACTCAATTAGGGTCCTATTATCTCTTGCTGTCAACTCCAATTGGCCCTTACACCAATTAGACGTTAAAAATGCTTTTCTTAATGGAGACCTTGAGGAGGAGGTGTACATGAGTCCCCCACCAGGTTTTGAAGAAAGGTGTCGAAATGGGAAAGCGTGCAGATTGAAGAAGTCCTTGTATGGACTTAAACAGTCACCGAGAGCTTGGTTTGAGCGCTTTGGTAAGGTAATAAAGCGCCATGGATATGTTCAAAGTCAAGCCGATCATACAATGTTTTACAGGCATTCGAATGACGGTAAAATAGCTATCCTGATAGTATATGTGGATGATATTGTGTTAACTGGGGATGATTGCGATGAGCTGGAAAAGTTGAAAAAGAAACTAGCTGAGGAGTTTGAGATTAAAGATCTCGGGGCTTTGAAATACTTTTTTGGGATGGAGTTTGCTAGATCTAGAGAAGGCATCTTTGTAAGCTAGAAGGAGTATGTTCTTGACTTGCTGAACGAGACAGGTATGCTAGGGTGTAAACCTGCTGAAATCCCTATAGAACCTAATGTGAAACTACAACCTGCAGAAGCTGAGAATGTAAAGAACAGGGAGCGTTATCAAAGACTCGTTGGGAGATTGATTTATCTATCCCATACACGCCCAGATATAGCCTTTCCTGTTAGTATGGTCAGCCAGTTTATGCATGCCCCAGGACCAGCACACTTTGAAGCCGTCTACAGAATTTTAAGGTATCTAAAAGGGACACCGGGCAAAGGACTTTTGTTTAAGCCACAAGGACACTTGCAAATTAAAGCCTACACAGACGCAGATTGGGCTGGGAGCATAGTAGACCGAAGATCCACTTCTGGATACTGTTCATTTGTAAGTGGTAACTTAGTTACATGGAGAAGCAAGAAACAGAACGTGGTTGCAAGGAGCAGCGCTGAGGCTGAATTTAGAGCTGTAGCCCATGGTATTTGTGAGATCATGTGGATTAGAAGGCTGTTGGAAGAGTTAAAAGCGATAGAGTCATCTCCTATGAAGTTGTACTATGACAACAAGGCAGCAATCTCAATAGCACACAATCCAGTCCTACATGACCGCACAAAACATGTGAAGGTTGACAAGCATTTCATCAAGGAAAAGATAGATAATGGACTGGTTCATATGGAACATATTCCTACCGGAGAGCAAGTGGCTGATATCTTTACCAAGGGACTGCACACAAAATAGTTCGATTTTCTAGTTGGCAAGCTGGCTACGGAAGATATTTTCAAACCATCTTGAGGGGGAGTGTTAGAAAATCAAGGAAAATATGTGCTGTAAATACACATTAGCTGTAAATTAGTCTCTAGCTATAATATAGCTATTTTAGGTATAAATCTGTGTATTTTAGGAAAGCTCTAACTAGGAATTATTCTTTCCTTTAATCAGTGATTTAGTTTCCTGGTCTAATGGTTTCTTAGGTGCTGTAAGTCTCTATAAAAGAACAATCTCAGATGACAGAATATATTATTCCGTGCAACCTGTTTTTCAACTTATACTCAACAAACGTGACATCGGTTGATATATAGAGTTTCTTAGTGGGGGGATGGTAGCATTTATAACCTTTTTTAGTAGATGAGTACGCCACAAAGATACACTTAATAGCTCTAGGATCGAGTTTCCCTCTGTTATTGCCATGAATATGAACAAATGAAGTGCACCCGAATACACGAGGAGTAAGGTTGAAGGACTTTCGAGTATCAGGATAGAATTGAGACAACGTCTCTAGTGGACTCTTAAACCCCAAGACTCTGGAAGGAATTCTGTTTATAACATAGGCTGATGTGAGGACAGCCTCCCCCCACAAGGACTTGGGTACATTTTGCTGGAATAATAGGGTTCTAGTACACTCGAGAAGATGTCTGTTTTTCCTCTCTGCCACTCCATTTTGTTGTGGAGTGACAATGCAAGATGATTCATGTATAATTCTCTCATTTTGAAAATATGGAGTCAAGGTTTGGTTGAAGTAATCCCGGGCATTATCGGAGCGAATATTTTTTATTTTTGTGCCAAACTGGTTTTGGATCATTGCATGAAAGGTGGGAAAAATATGGCTCACATCAGATTTGTTTTTGAGTAAATATATCCAGGAGACCCTCGTACAATCATCAATGAAACTCACAAACCACCTATACCCGGAGACACTTGGAATGGTGGATGGTCCCCAAATGTCACTATGTACCAAAAAGAAGGGAAATGAAGATTTATTATTACTGATAGGAAACGGTACACGAGTGTGTTTCGCATACTCACAAATATCACAATGAAAGGATTGAACATCCAAACCTTTAAACAAGGCAGCAAACATTATTTTTAATGCGGAAAAAGACACATGACCTAGACGCCTATGATGTAACCAAATAATATCTTTATTGGAAGAAGAAAATAATGAGAGCACGACTGGTTTTTTCACTTCCGGTTGATTTGATACATTCAAGTAGTAGAGTCCATTATGCTCCTTAGCAAGTCCAATCCTCTTCCCCGACCCCGGGTCCTGAAATTCACAAGAGGAAGCATTGAATATAACACAACTAGTTAGATTTCGGGTAAGTTTTTGTATGGAAACCAAATTTGTTGAAAGTTGG